CAGCGGCAAGGCTCATCTTCCTGTCCGCACGCACCTCCCACGCCTCACCCTTCGGTAAGTCCCTACATTGGCTTCTTCTAAGATATAGGGCTCAATTTAAAATTCTGGTTCTAGCTTTCAAATTTCTACATAATGCTGCTCCCACCTATCTATCCTCCCTAACACACAAGTATGTCCCATCTAGGCCCTTACGCTCTGCTGAAGACTTGTGTCCATCTTCTGTCCAAACTCCCACTTCTGATGCTCTCCTTCAAGACTTCTACAGGGCTGCACTGTTCCTGTGGAACTCTTTCCTCCTCCGTTAGATGCTCACCCAGTCTCCACTCCAGAAAAAAGAAAAACCCACTTCATAAAAGTGAAATCAAACTTAATAGCTACCGACTGATTCCTATTGTCACTGTCACTAGTCTAATACTATCCTTACCTTTGTGTCACTTTACCCCACTCCATCTAGCATGTAAGCTCATTGAGCAGGGCCCTCAACCCCTCTGTTACTGTGTCACTATACCCCACTCCCTCTAGCATGTAAACTCACTGAGCAGGGCCCTCAGTCCCTCTGTTACTGCGTCACTATACCCCACTCCCTCTAGCATGTAAACTCACTGAGCAGGCCCTCAATCCCTCTGTTACTGCGTCACTATACCCCACTCCCTCTAGCAAATAAACTCACTGAGCAGGGCCCTCAATCCCTCTGTTACTGTGTCACTATACCCCACTCCCTCTAGCAAATAAACTCACTGAGCAGGGCCCTCAATCCCTCTGTTACTGTGTCACTATACCTCACTCCCTCTAGCATGTAAACTCACTGAGCAGGCCCTCAATCCCTCTGTTACTGTCACTATACCCCACTCCCTCTAACATGTAAACTCACTGAGCAGGCCCTCAATCCCTCTGTTACTGTCACTATACCCCACTCCCTCTAACATGTAAACTCACTGAGCAGGGCCCTCAACCCCTCTGTTCCTGTGTGTCCAACTTGTGTGGTTACAACACGTCTGTTCGTCCAAGTTTACAAAATAGGAATAGCATGCCAAGTGACTTCAAGGTCTTGTTTTGGCACAGTACTATCAAAAAGGTTGCCTTCCCCAGGTCTAAAATGAAAACCCACCTAATTTTTCTACAATTTTTTAAAAAAATATTTCTAGAACCAAATCTGTGTTTAGTGCCGACTGCACAAGTGTCTTCCCTCTTAAGACCATGATTTGGGAGGGGGCTTTGGCATGTTTATAAAACCATCTCACAGGCTAGTCTTATGTACCAGTGTTTTTTTTTTAATTGCTCTTATTCAGCTTTCTCAGATTCAAGTACAGCAGAGAGTTCAAGCATTTACAGGTAAGCCATCATAGCCTTTGAAAAGATTGTGTACTATATTACCGAAAAGAACACGCTGGGCACCTCAGTGTAATCCTGACAAAGTCAAACTACAAATTGTTTAGCTGCAACTAGAATCATGCAGAGATGGTTAAGAGGTTTAGCAGAGTTCAGACAACCTTTCAAGAGGTTATGTACTACTGACTGACAAGTTTGTATTGCTTTAATAACTAGATCTGGGATTTCCATTCACTGTAGTCTACAGATTGCAAATTACATTTTAGGCTGATCTAAAGAAAAGAAAAAAAACAAAATCTGCATTACAGTATGGTCAACTTTCGGCACTCCAGATGTTGTGGACTAGATCTCCATAATGCTCTTACACCCATAACGTTTGCAAAGCATCATGGGAGGTGTAGTCCACAACATCTGGAGTTCCGAAAGTTGCCTATGCCTGATCTAGAATGATAAAGGCGAGAGTTTCCACATTAGTACCTGCAAGTTTTAAACGTGTAATCGTAATGAGCCACAGAAGCATCTTGGAGGTGCATAAATGTGGGCCAATCGGAGACTTCTGGAGTAGGTGGCAAGGCTGAGTGACTTAAATAGGTTTATATACACATCTTTTAAAATTCAGGATTTTAGTAGACTAGACTTAATATAGAGCGGGGGGGGGGCTACATATTACACTGCAAGTTCACATTAGTTCACTGAGAGAAAGGTTTGGAATGTTGTGACCCTGTTAACCTGTAGGTTTCAGAAGTTAGAGAGTTTGTAAATTAAGCAGATGTTTATTACTCTTCAATTTAATCTTAATTTCCATTTGTACATAGCTTGAAGTACAGTCTCCTCCAGGAACAACTATTGGTTATGTAATCCAGAACTGGAGTCTGTCGACCCACTTTTACTATCCAGAATGAAAACGATTAGGATGTTTTTCGGGTAACGAGAACCATGGGCTTATGTTCACCTCTTTCATTTCAAGTAAGTTTATTTATCTCCGTTAAACTATCCATTGCAAGTCACAGCAAACTCCTTCCCAGCAGACATATGGAGTCTCACATTTACACAAAGTTATAGAAAAAAATATATAAATGAGTTTGTCTAAATGTGCAAGGCATTTTAGAGTTTGTACACTTATTGGCAATTTAAAGCATGCCTACTCAACATTTGATCAGAAAAAAAATTAAAAAAAAATTGTATTTTCACTTGTTTTATATAAAAAAAAAAAACTGTTCCTGGTAAAACACACGTCAAGGTTTTCAAAGAATCAAAGACAAGAAGATGTAGATTCAAAACTGCGTTACACAGGAGACAAATTACTCCTGACACTTTAGTGTGAGTTATTGTGTTCTAGAGCACAATATAAAACGTGTCCAACTTTCCCCATCCCTGGCTTACCAAGTCACTTATACCAGTTCAGACCACATGCTCCATTCTCAGTTGTGAATTCCTCAGTTTCTCCTATCCCTTTATCACAGATCACCCCTGTTTTAAGTCTAGTGTAAGTGTGGCTGTGTGTATTTTGTCCAGCATGGTGCGAGTTTATAATGAGAACGCATGGTGTGTAAATCCTGTAGTTTTATTTTGCCTCTGTGAAGAAGTGGTATAATTTGTATAAATGGTCTAGTTTAGCATGTATTTGTGGGAATGCATGACTATGGATGTATGTGGTCTATTAACAGAAATGCAGTGTGTGAGCCTACAGGTGTTTCCAATGCAGAATATTTTACCAACCCACAAGCAGATTTAGGATTTAACCCCTTTGGGTTAGGCAATCCTACAGTATCCCAAATACATGGGACAGTCACAGGCTAAAATTGCTTGCTAAGCGATTAGTGATACTAACACAGTCCAAATTGTTTTTATTTAATATACACACACATACACACACACACTAACCTGGAGTTTCCCCTTTATGGACTGTTCACTGGAGACCTGATGAGGGTCTGCCTGTTTCATGGGATCTTTCATATATGGGGTCACATCTATTTTCCTTACTTTAGGTAAAAACCGTAGAGCAGAGATCAGAGGTGGGGATGATTAACATGCGTTTTTTGCGTCTGGGTATGTGCACATACAACAAAGATTATGAGATCCAGTTTCCATTGGACCTGGACGTGAAACTGAAAGCTCTCCTGCTTAGTACAGGCCTTTTATTTGTGAGTTTACTTTTCCAACACCATTTACATTGATTGTATCTGTTCAAGTGCACCCAAAATTATTTTGCTACCTATACTCCGTGAGCTTTCCTACCACCATAACCACTGTAGAACCTTTGGTTGTGGCATTTAACTTGTTCTTTTAAGAAACCATCTTGTTGAGAGGTTTTTAATAAACAATTGACAATTAAACTAAATAAAAATGTCCCTACAAGTAGACCCCTAGAAAAAAAACATCAAGTTGAATCAGATATCAGGACAAGACATCAAAACGGACTACAAATAGTCTATGGCATCAACTTGTTAAATATTGCTGTATCCATGTTGCCAAAAAAAAATAAAAAATCATGACTTGTATGAATGCAAATCTGGGCTAAATAGAGTTAAGACTCTACTGCTCTCAATGTCTGTTTTCCTCCCTCTCAATCCAGTGTAGAGACCAACGCACTGTTACAGCTTCCTAAAACCTAATGACAGATAAGAACTAGTCGGCCCATCTAGTCTCCCCAATATTTCAAAATACTTTTAATTAGTCCCTGGCCTTATGCCTATCCCATGCATGCTTAAACTCCCTCACTGTGTTCACCTCTACCACTTCAGCTGGAAGGCTATTCAATGCATCCACTACCCTTTCAGTAAAAGTAATACTTACTGATTGTTAAACCTTTGCCCCTCTAATTTAAGACTGTCCTCTTGTTTATAGGCATTAGAACACATTTGCATTATGGATACATTATTATACATACAAGTAGCACAGATGTACCATCATTAAAACAATGCTTACATACATTTAACTCATCTGTTTCTCCTTCAGGATTTCCTATTCTATCAAAGAAATGGCTAAAAATGGAACCAGAGTGTTGGAGGATTTTCCCATGGGACTATTGTGATTGAATTCTCCAAGGAGAGGCACACCTGGTTTATTTTGCTTTCACCGCCCTTTACTTACACGGTGTTCTCATTTTACTTTATCAATCAATTGAGACAGCCAGTAATAGACGCAGCAGATGTTAATGTCGGACTGTGTGGATGTATTATCTGCAGCAATACTACAAGAATATATAAAATATATCCATGTATACATTCATTATGTCTATTCTAACTTTCATTGCAATATGCAGAAACAATTAACCTGGCTAACTTGTACCCAGGTAGTTAAAAAAAAAAAAAAAAAATTAATAAATCTCAAAACTCCCAAAGTATTTATGATTACATTTTTGATGCTTTGATGGTTGGTTTATCCAGCCACGCTTGATAACCGTGTGATTACACATCTTACAGCCTACCATCTTTAAATTTCTAGGAAATTGATATTAATCTTGAGCCTGACCCAAACCCACCCATGCGCTTAAACTTGTACAATTAGTAGATACGATAAAGTTAAAACTCAACTTTGATGTAATTATACATTTAGTCTCCCATGACAAAGGACCTCTCCCAACAACTTTGGTTTTGTTTTCACCTCCCCCCACCTTTTTATAAAACTATCTGAATTTACCCTTTTCTGAGGTCCAGTACGTCACACCTTTTTAATATACAACATGTAAATTGTGTGTGATAAATGATCAAGGTGAACTGCATCTGTGAAGCAATGGGATAAAATCTTGTTGGGGACTACAGGGAGATTCCTTTAAACAGACAGACATTTTATGGTGTGCGTAAACCAGGTGTCAGTGAAGAAAAACGTGAAGTAATTTTCCAATTAATAAAACAGACTACTGGACACCTTGAACATTCCAAACACTGCATGCATTTGGCTTCTATACTTAATACTTATGTATTCTATAATTTGCGTGGTCAAGAGAGTTAAAAACAAAAAATTGCATTATTGTGCCGCTATTATTCTAAAAAGACAACATTTGTCTCTCCAATAGCAGCAGTTCATATAACCAGGGAGCCTAGCAAAGCCTTCTGGGAACCATAGTTCAGAGAGCAATTGATAAGTGAAGCTCACATTGCAGAAACTCCCAATTTGGCCTTAAAGACCTGTTTGACTTACTGGATAAAGACAACACCTAGAAAAATATCTGCAGTTTTTGTAAATGCTAGGAGACAGCAGTTACATACTGTGATAGTCTTTTGGATTTCTTAATTTCATGCAACATCTATTCAATGCATTTAAAAAAAAAAAAAAAAAAAGTTCCAGGCTTAGCTGTCCCTTTAAGCTCTACGCTAGAGGCCCAGGGTAACATTTTACAAAAAGGCACAAGATACAATTTCCATTCCATTTCTAATCCTGTGAGACGGGTACAGTAATACCACCCGCTACATAGATATTGTACCCTAGCAGCATTGCTGCTTTTACCCAGTTAAATTAAGGGAGTTCAATGTTCTAAACCCTCCACCCCCTAGAACGTGCTTTTCATAAGAAATGGAGTCCAACTTCTTCTGTAGTGACTTTCCAATTCTCAGGCTTGTTAACATGCTCTCAAGTAACTAGTCCCTGCAGCTCTAGCGAGAATCTTTACAGAGACACATTGTCTAACTCGTCCCTCAGCTGTGCTACATCTATAGAACCTCCTCTCAGAATTCCCACCCAAGAAATGAGAAAGAGCCAAGTCCCCTGCTTTATAAAGGGCCCTGATCAAGCAAAATTACTCCCAGTAATGTGTCTGAGTGTATAACAGAGCTCCCCATTAATAATACTCCCAGTAATGTGTCTGAGTGTATAGCAGAGCTCCACAGCAATAATACTCCCAGTAATGTGTCTGAGTGTATAACAGCGCTCCACAGCAATAATACTCCCAGTAACGTGTCTGAGTGTATAACAGCTCCACAGCAATAATACTCCCAGTAATGTGTCTGAGTGTATAACAGAGTTCCACAGCAATAATATTCCCAGTAACGTGTCTGAGTGTATAACAGCGCTCCACAGCAATAATACTCCCAGTAACGTGTCTGAGTGTATAACAGCTCCACAGCAATAATACTCCCAGTAATGTGTCTGAGTATATAACAGAGCTCCACAGCAATAATATTCCCAGTAACGTGTCTGAGTGTATAACAGAACTCCACAGTAATAATACTCCCAGTAACGTGTCTGAGTGTATAACAGAACTCCACAGCAATAATACTCCCAGTAATGTGTCTGAGTGTATAACAGCTCCACAGCAATAACACTCCCAGTAATGTGTCTGAGTGTATAACAGAGCTCCTCAGCAATAACACCCCCAGTAATGTGTCTGAGTGTTTAACAGCTCCACAGCAATAATACTCCCAGTAATGTGTCTGAGTGTATAACAGAGCTCCACAGCAATAATACTCCCAGTAATGTGTCTGAATGTATAACAGAGATCCACAGAAATAACACTCCCAGTAATGTGTCTGAGTGTATAACAGAGCTCCACATCAATAACACTCCCAGTAATGTGTCTGAGTGTATAACAGAGCTCCACAGCAATACCCACAGCAATAATACTCCCGGTAATGTGTCTGAGTCTATAACAGAGCTCCACAATAATAATACTCCCAGTAACGTGTCTGAGTGTATAACAGAGCTCCACAGCAATAATACTCCCAGTAATGTGTCTGAGTGTATAACAGAGCTCCACAGCAATAATACTCCCAGTAACGTGTCTGAGTGTATAACAGAACTCCACAGTAATAATACTCACAGTAATGTGTCTGTGTGTATAACAGAACTCCACAGCAATAATACTCCCAGTAATGTGTCTGAGTGTATAACAGAGCTCCACAGCAATAATACTCCCAGTAACGTGTCTGAGTGTATAACAGAGCTCCCCAGCAATAATAATCCCAGTAATGTGTCTGAGTGTATAACAGAGCTCCCCAGCAATAATACGCCCAGTAATGTGTCTGAGTGTATAACAGAGCTCCACAGTGATAATACTCCCAGTAATGTGTCTGACTGTATAGCAGAGCTCCACAGCAATAACACTCCCAGTAATGTCTGAGTGTATAACAGAGCTCCACAGCAATAACACCCCCAGTAATGTGTCTGAGTGTATAACAGAGCTCCACAGCAATAACACTCCCAGTAATGTGTCTGAGTGTATAACAGAGCTCCACAGCAATAACACTCCCAGTAATGTATCTGAGTGTATAACGGAGCTCCCCAGCAATAATACTCCCAGTAATGTGTCCGAGTGTATAACAGAGCTTCACAGCAATAATACTCCCAGTAATGTGTCTGTGTGTATAACAGAGCTCCACATCAATAATACTCCCAGTAATGTGTCTGAGTGTATAACAGAGCTCCACAGCAATAATACTCCCAGTAATGTGTCTGAGTGTATAACAGAGCTCCACATCAATAATACTCCCAGTAATGTGTCTGAGTGTATAACAGAGCTCCACAGCAATAAAACTCCCAGTAATTTGTCTGAGTGTATAACAGAGCTCCACAGAAATAACACTCCCAGTAATGTGTCTGATTTTATAACGGAGCTCCACAGCAATAATACTCCCTGCAA